TATGTCAGATTTCTGAGACAGATTTTTACTACTAACATGTGGTAACAGTCGCTTGCACCCAGAGATCACTGGTTTTACTAGGATACCTTAAATATTTTTAGAAAAATAATTAAAACTTGAGTAGCCTTAATGAAGTGGGGATTATAATCCCAGTGTCAAATTGATAAACAGGTTAATATTTGTTAACCTGTAATAAAAATCTGAAAAGACCGTTAACATAATGTGAAGTTATTAAAAAACTGTTTAAATCTTAATATAGATATTAGCTTGAAAGTGGCTACCTTTTTACTTTGTTAAAATCTAATTAATAGTAGGTACGTGCACAGTATTTCCTGAAACTAGGATGTGATGTACACCAATATCTATACAGAATATATCTTTTACTCTACTGAAATGCACTTTTTTTTTAATAGAAACAATGACGTGGTCCAGAGCAGAAACTAAGGGGACAGTGCCACTTCCTCGCAGTCTCCATACAGCCAATGTAATAGGAAACAAGTATGTCTGTTGTTAAAAGCTCAGCTATAGAAAGGTACACCAAGTAGGAGAATGATGATATAGTGTTTCTGTATTGGATTACCCTTACCTGCCACTGTACAACATAAACAACTTTGGCTTTATGGAATGCTCTTCTGGATGTTGTTGTGCCCTTGTAGAACCTATGGAGATAGCAATATGCCATCATGTAAATTAAGGCAGTTAGTGAATTTTAGCATCTTTCTCAAGCCAATGCTGACTCACAGGGCAGAAACTAGTTTCTTCCATCCCTCTGCATTATTAGCAGCTGCTTCCATCTGCTTGTGATGTTGATTGACTCTTGTGGCCTCCCAGCTAACAGGTTCTTTAAGGTTTCTTTTGGCCACTCTTGTTTCCTCACTCCAGTTGGCTTCCATCATGTGGGAGTCTGCATATTGGCATCCGGAATATATGGCCCAAATATGCCCAAAGTATCCTTCTAATTCTAGTGGAGACAAGCTGCTGGGTTGGTTATTTCCCAGCTCCCTTTGCCTGGTAGGAAGTAGTTTTAAAATTCTTTCGGTAGTAGGCACATAGTCTTCTGTATTAACATCACAGATTTTTACCTCAAACTAGGGATGCAAAATCCTAGTTAAAATGTTAACTGATTAAACTATATGTTTAACTGGTTAACTGGCCCACTGTATTAGCACCCTCATAGTGCAGTGCTAGGCAGGGCCTGCTGTGTTGGGCGGCAGGCATGGGGCTGCTCCTGCCGGGCTGGAGCACCCTGTGGTCTTGGGCTTCCTGGTTTAAAGTCATACTTAGTAGAGTAAATAACTTTTAGCTTGAATAGATTTTGCTTGATCATTACTAGGGATGTTAACGTGTACTCATGTACATGGTTATCTGGTAAGCCTCGGTGCATTGGTTAACCCACACAGTTACGTGCACTTCCCCTCCCCCTGCTGCCTCCCCCTGGAGAAGGAGTCAGGAGCCAGCTTTTAAGCCAGCAGCGGGAGTGTGTGGAGAGGAAAGGCTCCCACGGAGCCACCTGCCCTCCTGCGCTGGTCAGGGAGATAGATGGGATCCAGTGCTTGCGGGGAGCCAGCTTATATGTTTACAAAAATAAAGGTTTGTTAATATACCTAATCATTACCTGTATGCTGAATCATGTTATCAGACTGAGTCACACATGTATCTAATTCTTTCCCTGGTCACTTTGTATAACTATACAAAATAACACTAAAACCTGGAAAATTGTTTTACATTCTTTTACTCTCTAGATCTGTGGTTTTCAACTTTTTCAGGCTGCTGTACTCCTTTCAGAAGACTGATTTGTCTTGGTACCCCAAGTCTCACTTCACTTAAAAACTTGCTTGCAAAATCAGACATAAAAATACAAAAGTGTTACCGCATGCTATTGCTGAAAATGGCTTACATTGTCATTTTTACTATAAAATTATACAATTGGAATATAAATGTACTTAAGTTACAGTGTATACAAATCATTGTATGAAAATTTAGTTTGTACTGATTTCACTAGTGCTTTTTATGTTGCCTGTTGTAAAACTAGGCAAATATCTAGACGGGTTGTTGTACACCCTGGAAGATCTCAGGCAGTGTTCCCTCTAAGCTGTACAGCAACACAGCTTCACAGGTGATTAATCAGTCCACCCAGTTAGAGGCTCAGGGCTCTGAGCCAGAGCTGACTGACTGGGCGGGGCTGATAAATCACCCGTGAGGCTGTGCTGCTGCACACCTTAAGCAGGGGTTCCCAACCTTTTCCAGATGGGGACCCATTTTGACAATTCAGGAAGACGTGGTGACCCAAGGCAATTAAAAAATGGGGAAAGGCGGGGGAGCAGAGCCACTTGGGGAGACACTTGGTGACCCTTTTGAAATGTAATGGTGACCCATATTTGGGTCCCAACCCATAGTTTGGGAAACCCTGGCTTAGAGGGAACACTGTTAAAGCTATCTGACAGACTGAGTTATGCTAGCAGGTAGAAGAGTCATCTAGAGCAATGGTTCTCAACCAGTAGTAAACATTCCCCTGAGGGCAAAGTAAATATACTTGCTTCCAATTTATATCATCTTACAGGTTATATATATATAAGGCGGGGAGAAAAGAAGAATGCCCTCTGAGACAAGATTACAACTTTTGATTTTTATTATTCCTAAAAAATGTTACCAGATTGTATTTCCTAAAAGCATTTCTAATTCTGATATCTGACAGTCTTTTAAAATGGTCTGTTGTGAACAATACATGAAAGGGCTGTAGAAATTCTGTGTAAATGTTTAATTTCTAAATATCTAGCAGTTTCAGATGCCTTTATTGAGATACAAAATTAACACACTTCTGGCATATTTCTTAAATGTCCTGCAATGCGGAAGATTTCTCATAGTTATTTTGCTCCACACTTTTTACTACTGTAGACCTGTGATGGCACCAATTAGAAAGAGATGAGGGACACAAACAAGCTCTTGTAATCTGTGGTTGACACATTAAAATCCTGTAAATAGGTGTTTTGCCATAGAGTATATGGTGAGAAAAATGCAACAGGATGAGGGAAGTTGTTAATTAGCTATGTCTTTTTTCCCCCCTCTCTCTTCCCTCATATTTTTAGAATGTATGTTTTTGGTGGATGGGTTCCACAGACAGTGGAGGATGAGATTTCTACTCCTGATGGTGAATGGAAGTGTACCAGTTCATTTTCTTATCTAAATTTGGGTTAGTGTTTCTGCTGTTTTTGATCATTATAAATTAAATGTTTCTTTTGACAGATGTAAACCTATGAGTAAACTCTTAAAAAATTCTTAGGTAACTTTAAAACTAGACCAAAGTTGCACATCCCACCAAGAATGTATTTATTCTCAAGTCTCCCCATTGATCTGGATGGACATCTAATACAGGACAAATACTTTCTGGATAATGGTTGTCATGTTGCAGACATTCAGCAGTATTATAAATATAAAACAATGCTCAGGGATCTCCGTGGTAGAATACAGAACCTGTTACATGCCTGCTCTATAAGACAAGAATCCTTTTATTGATGCGCACCAAATCACTTTAGCACCCATACAATATTACCCTACATTTCTATATGATACAACCAAAGATCGGGAGGGGGGGAAGGGGAGAGAGAGCATTCTCCCTGTGCACTTTCCTAGTTCTGCACAGACAGTTGGCACAGCAGACCTCGAATGAACCACCCAATGATCACAACATCCATTAAGGGCCAGTCAATGAGGCATAGTATTAGCACATGGCAGACTCTGAGGATACTAAGGTTGTTGAGATAAAATAGTGAGTTTACACACTGAAATGTGACTTCCTTTGGGGAAAATGTCCAGTCAGCTATAAAAAACTTCCACACCATGAGAGACTTTCTTTCCCCTTCCCTTTATTGTTGACAAAGAGCCATTGTAGATACGGCTGGTTGTTTTGTCGCCAGAACTGGCTTCCACCAGTATCCCATGATTCCTGCTCAGTTAGCTCTGCTCAGTGTTTAGATCCCTGCTGCCTTGCAGGCATGTGCCCCTCCCCTTTCAAAGCTCCAACAAGTATCTGGCAGCTCAGTGTGCTGTTCCATTTGGAGAACAGGCAAAGGGAAATTCATTAGACTGCTCCTGTTCTGCCCTGTACTAGGAACATAGCGGCAGGCAGATTGCTGCTACAGGGAGGGGATCGTGAGGTGAGGGGGAGACTGCTGTACTGCTCTGGCATTCCTCAGCACAGAAAGCTCACAGAGCTACTAATAAGGCTGCTCCCAGCAGCTGAAGAGTCTGTTGGAGAACTTGGAAGGTGGAGGGGGGGAATCCCAAGATGTGATCAGCTCCATATTCCCACAACGCTGCATTGCTCACACTGCTGATGATGGTTCCTCCAATATGGACATGATCTATCGACGGAGGGAGAAAGTGTGGACACCCTCTGGTGATTTTTGTTGACTTTTTGGGTATCGACATAAGTTTTGTCGACAAAACGTGGTAGTATAGAGACATACCCTAAGACATGCATGCTGATGACAATGAATGCAGCTCAAGCAATTGCAGCACTTTCCACTGACCCCTAGGCTGGCCAAAGATACTCCTCTGAGATATTTGATTATATTGGGGTATAAAGATGTTACATACTGTAATCCTGATACACTGACTTCTCCTAAAAGACACTGTTTCTGTTATCCTTGGGAAATGTTTTTGTATCCCCCTTGATATTGGGGTGTTCTTGTGGCATTTGATACTGGGATGTGTTTGTGTCACTAATCTGTACTTAGCACTTCTTAAGAATGTGTATTTCTGCAATATCAGCTCTGTTCTTGCCTAGGGATGTAAGAGACTAGTTGACTATCTGATAAGCAAAAGCTCATCAGTCAACTAGTGATGCGACTAGTCACTCCCTCCATTTGTTGCCTCTGTCAAAGAGAGGCAGCAAGGGGGAGAGCAGGAGCTGGTGCTGAGAGTCGCACTGTCTCCTCGGGGCAGGGGAGGTAGAGGCACAGTGGGAAACAGCGCAAGCGTGGACTGAAACAGTCTCTGCTCACGCCACTTCTGCTGCAATTCTGCTTTTGAAATGTACAGGAGCCCACAGGGAGCATGGGACCAGGGCTCCACACTCCCTTCGGGGCTTCCACTTTTGAACCATAGTGGAAATCCAATCGACTATTCAATTAGTTAATTAATCTAAATTTAACATCCCTATTCTTTCCTGATTTTGAGAGCAGATCCTGCCTGACCAAGCTGCTGGTACAAGCGTTCATGTTTCAGGCTCCCTTTCTAGTACAGAGAATATTGGAAACCATGATTCAAATGAATAAATGTAAACGTGTGTATTCTCAAGATGATCACTTTCCCTTTGACTAGTTAGGTAGAATAATATCTGTTTCTTGTTTTGAAAACACATATTTGAATGGTATGGATTATTGCAAATTTCATTTCCTAGATACCATGGAATGGATAGCTCTAATCTCAGATTGCCAGGAAGATAAAAAAAACTTGTTACCAGGGCCAAGAGCGGGACACTGTGCTGTGGTAGTTGGCACTCGTCTGTATATCTGGAGTGGTAGAGATGGTTATAGAAAAGCTTGGAACAATCAAGTTTGCTGTAAGGATCTTTGGTATTTAGATACAGGTGAGTAACAACATAATAAAAATACTTTAATGTGTTGTACATTGTAACTACAGTATAGAAACTTGACATCATACCTGCATAGAAGTTTTAGTCTATAGCAGATTCAGTGAATTTTTAAATCTCAGATTTTTTTTTAAATAAAATATTGCTTCAGGGTTGATGTATTTAAAGATTATTCTTGTGGCTTTCTGCTAAAAACAGTGACCTATTCCATAGGCCATCAAAGAGATGTTTTGAGGCTAAATTCAGTAAAAAAAAAAAACCTTTACAATTCTTGAGTCAAGATGCTAGCTGGCATCCTATATAAACATTTGTTAAGGCCCCCCCCCCATGTGCATTTTACATTTTCCTTATTTCACTTTATTGTGGCTCTAACCTCTTCCACCAAACTAAACAATTGCTATATTTGGCGTTTCTACACTTCAGGTACGTGTAAAACATTGTGTTCCACTTTTAATTTCTTAATGACCATAGAATCTCATATTTTCTTATAGATAATCTTCTACTGCTTAGTTCCACTTTTAATTTCTTAATGACCATAGAATCTCTCATTTTCTTATAGATCTTCTACTGCTTAATCGTTTTTTGTAAAATTACAACTGAATGCAATTGGACAGAGAAATACTTGTATCCATCTTCTTGGGTGCATTCTCCATAAAGCTGTGTAGGTTCTACTCTTTTCTCCATGATCTTGAAGTGATGCCTCTGCATATCTGGAGCCCTGCAAATCCACAAATATCCACTTTATATCCATGCATATTCGCATCCACTGATGTGGGTGCGAATATCCACAGCTTATTTTTGCCGCCATGGATGTGGATATACATTTTGAATCTAGAACCAGGCAGTTTTGCAGATCTATGTGGGTATTTGCAGATATGGATATGGATATCCATGCGTCATTTTTGAAGATGCAGATATCAATTTTGCATCCACACAGAGCTCTCTGCATATGTAACTCAAAACCTCATTGGTTTTTTCTGCTGTCAAATAGGTAATTAAAAAAAGGTATCAGACTTTTAAAAAATGTGCCTTGTGAGACAATTAGGAGAAACCATAATGTATTTTGTTGCTTTATTTTATAACATATAATATTTTGTTTACTTTTGTTATGTGACCTATTACCATAAATACTTGGAGAAATGAGAGCTGTTTATGTATTATTGTTACAGAAATAACGTTTGAACTACAATAAAAGTGCAACTTTAAATATTCCATTTCTATTTAATTGGTGTCTTTTAGAGAAACCACCAGCCCCATCACAAGTACAGTTGATCAAAGCTACAACTAATTCTTTTCAAGTAAAATGGGATGACGTTCCTACAGTGGAAGGATATCTTCTTCAGTTAAATGCTGACTCCCCAGTGCCTATAGTGACCAGTGGAATACCAGTTACCATCGTTCCTGAGACTGCATTGCCAAGTTCACAAGGTAATACGGCAATATTTCCCTTAGATGAAACTACATTTCTACAAAGGTTCCCATATAAGCTTCCCGTGTGCTTCCTGATTTTAAGTTGGCTGAATAGTGGAGAGGTTCCTTGATGTAAGCAAGAAGTGTCTGAGCCTGGACGTTCCTTACAGAGTGAAACTCTTTATAGAAGACAGGAAAGCCTAGTGCTTAGAATGGATTTTGTACATTGCTATATGATACCTGGCTGCAATTTAGACCAGTATATGAAGTAGTAGAGAGAGAATTCATAGGTAAGTTTTTTTTTGTTTGTTTTTTTTAACATCCTATTTGAATGTGACTTGAAGGAGATGGTAGTGGGAAAAGGATTTCCATTGATTTTGTTTGCTTTTGCAGTTTAATTTCTGATTTTAGTGCTACTATAACCAGAAACAGAGATTTTAACAATAAGACAAAGGGCCTGATTCTCATTTACACAAAAGCCTTTTCATATTGCTCTGGTACTCGCTCACTGGGAGAAAATAGACTCCATGTAAAACATTTTAATGCTTCATAGAATCAATGGGTATTTGTTTTTGTTTACCTGTAAGGTGGTTCTACTCAACAGCATAGTCTATAATCAATGACTATCATCCTTCCTTCAGGAATCAAGCTGGATCTTCACAGCCAAACAAATCATGTGGTTCCTAATAATGTAAGTCTAAACTGAAAATTGTCAAATCAAGATAATGTTTTATTGGTGGTTTCACTTCCCACTCTAATTTGCCAATTTTAAAAGGCCTGAAATAATTTCAAACTAAAAATTTAACTGCTTAATTACTTTTGCTCTAATGAGACTACTTCACTTCCTGATTGAATGGAGTAGCTTGAAAAGCCATTCCTGATCATTCAAGAGGGAAGCTACAGACGTACTGAGTACTGTTATGATAACTGGGAGCCAGAAACCAAGAAGAAAATTTCCTTCATCCTCAAAGCCCCAGCAAAATGGGTACAGAGAGGTTTCTAAAACAAAAATGTTAATCTTTTCTGGAAAATAGTTGAGTCTATATAAGTATACTTTTATGTGATTGTTTTCAAATAAACTAAAGATACATAACTTAATTTGCACTTCAATTTAAGAATGCCAGCTGTCTTCAAAATAAAGCTTTAGATGTTAAAGACATTATCAAGTCAAATATAGACTAGGGATCTAAAATCCTGTTTAATTAGTTAACTAGTTAAATGTTAAGTTTAATTGGTTAACTCATTAAATGGGGACAGGCTGGAGTGGACCCCCCTCATCCTCTCCGCCCCACACCACAGGCAAGGGGCTGCTCCAGCCTGGCTGCTGCTTCCAGCCCACACAGGGCTGCTAGCTCCCAGGCTGAGAGTCTGCACCTCTGACCCTGGGCTGCTACTTCCGGCCCTGTGCAAGGCTGCTGACTCCCAGCCCATCAAGGGTAATACTTACCAGGTAACAATTAGTTACCCATTCACATCCCTAATATGGACTTTGTGAAAAGTGTGTTTTACAAGTTTAATTACTTGCAATATTTGCAGTTCAAATTGTAAACTTTAACAATTATCATAAGCAATTGCTTTCTTTTTGATTAGGTGCAAGTTTCATCTAATCCATTATTAAAACTGGAAGCTGAAGAAAATATTACTGAACCTGAAAATATGGTTACAAAAGAGGCTACAAAGAAAAATTATCTAGATTCTAGAGAAGTCAAAGAATCAAATGCCCCCTCACTTTTGCCAGGATGTACTGTAGGTAAGAGATTATTCAGTAGAGACTAAAGGAAAGTTGGAGTTAAAAACTTGCAGATATTAAAGTAAGAATATTTGTGTGTTACTGATACCCTATTTGTTTTTTTAAAGTTGAGTCTTTCTCATAGTATTTATTACTGTTCATATTTATAAATTGGGAACATAAGAACGGCCATACGGAGTCAGACCAAAGGTCCATATAGTTCAGTATCCTGTCTTCCAACAGTGGCCAATGCCAGATGTCCTAGCACAGAACAGGTAATCATCAAGTGATCCCTTTCCTGTCATTCATTTTCATCCCCTGACAAACAGAGGCTAGGGACACCATTTCTACCCATTCTGGCTAGGTGAAACTGTAATTTGTCCCTAGTTTATTGTGCTGTAAGAGGAACAAAATGTTCAGGTCTGTCATTAAGATGACAAATATGGACTATAAACAGTTCTTTACAAACGAAAGGTCTGTTTTTTCACATAAAGGCTTGGCATACAGAAATAAGCAGCACCAGAATTAGAGCAGTAACATCTTGTTTATAGTTGTCAGGTTGTCTAACCTGCTTATCATACTGGATGCTTACATCTATGTAATTAAGGTGATGTCCTCATTTCTGCTGCTTTCAGCGTCTGAATTCTGAGAGTATATGGGAGGGGAGGAAATGATTGCTACGGGTTAAAACTTGGTATACAAAATATCAACCTAGAAACAAACTTCTACAGTTTATAATATTCCTAGTCACTTGTATTACATGGACTAGCAAAAATGTAGGATTTCAAGGTTGCAAATATTTTTGCTACTTGGAATTGTTTTCAAATCAATGTTAAAATCACTACCATTTGGATTTAATGCTTAGCTGAATAATAGAATTTAATCAGATGGGCCTATTTTATCAAAACTAAGAAGCATCTCCCATACTTTTCTGTAGTTAGGTATTTTTGTGGTTTGTGTACATATGTCAACTGTTATGGGGGAGAAATTAATATTAATTTTACACCAAATTTGTGTATAACATAAATATAAGCAGACTCATTCTAGTCTGAATCTGGCTAGCATCAATTCCTATAGCAGATTAAAACAATTGGATTAAGTTGATATTTGTCAATTGATATCAATATTGAAATCAAGTTACTATTTTTCATGTTGCAGGTCCTCAGACTTCAGCAAATGTAGCTGAATTACATGACTTGGACATAAGAACTGTAAATCCTGATGCTTCTGTATCCAGTATTGTCTCCTGTTCACAAACTATGGTAACCCAGCAGGCTGTTAAAACTGAGTCATCAAGTACAAATGGGGCAGTTGTTAAAGATGAAACTTCACTAACAACAGTCAGTTCAAAATCTGAAGGTTTGAAATGTGTTTCACATACTGTATTTTGAGCCATATTTATCTAAGGCTGCCATCCAACTTCTACTGTGGTGGAAAATTTGTCCTCTTTGAATAGTGGCTGGGATTGAAATAATGGTTCAGGCATTGATGATCTTGAGCAAGCTTGAATGATCTCTTCTCTGATTTCACTTTAAAATGAGGATATTCCTAACACAGATTTGTAAACAATTTTAATTTGTGAAGGTGAAAAGTGTTACAGATGTTCATTACTAGTTGACTGAAATCCACTGTTCAGATAATACTAACCACCAACAACATTGGTGCCTGTGGCACATTTGCGCACTCAAGTGCTTTTCTTGCTAAAGGGCAATATATTCAAATGCTAGTGATCTCGGATCATCTTCATTTCTTTCCAAATTGGAGGCCTCGTATTACTGATTAAATCAATTAAATTGGTTATTTTAGGCTGACCACCTCATAATCTGTGATTGAAAACTTTGAAATGCGCAGTTGATGTAAACTCAGTATGTAAACAATGTTGATGCAAAATGTCTTGATGAAAGTGAATACGCAGTATTTGCCATCACCTGAGAGCAGTGGCAACTGTTTGATAATGGTCTTTTGTTGATACGCGTTTTAGTAGTTAAATTCCTGGATTGTCATTGCTCATTAACAGTGCTGTCATATGGGTGGAAATCGGGTAAATATTGCATTTTATTAATATCAGTAGAACTGACTTAAATGGGGCCTCTGTGTTATGTAGTCTTGCCTTAATTTTTGTATTCATGCCTCTGACAGTGTGAAAAGCTCGTTGCAAATATTTGCATATATATTTGCATGTATATGAAACCACACTTAAGTTGTGGCCCTCAGCATGTGCTGAGAGTATCATTGTGGTTCCCGAGGCTTCCAAAGTTGAATAGCCCTGGGTTACAGGCTTCTGTCGATTTTTATTGCTCGTGACCTATCTTTGACTTTTTACTAAAAGTAACTATGACAAAATCTTAATTTGTACGAGTAATACATTTAAAATTATTAATTGCTGAAGTTTAATGTTTAGCTCATACTGGGTGGCAATATCTGCCTGATTTTGAGTATATTTCAATATTGATGTAAACAGAATTTATACAACTCCAGGCCTAAATTCTTAATAATTGCACTGCCTTATAATTGTGTAGTTTTAGTCTCCTGTCAATGGTACCATTGTACCTGCAGCAGCATGCAACACCAGGTACTGTTAAAGTTGTTTTGTAAGTTTAAAACCAACAGCTAGTTTTAAAAAGGTATTAAAATTCAGGTTGTAAATAAAGCTTCATGTAAAATTTACCAAACTATGAATGTAATACTGAACAGACTTTTGCAATAGATGCTTCTCACTGAAATCCATTTACAAATTTTAAAAGCTATGGAATTTGTCTTTACATGTCAGTTGTTTTATGTGAAGTAATGTTTTTAATATAATTCTTGTTTTAGTTGCTGAAACTACTTTTATAATGTCTTCAACTAAAGTCAGCGCTCCTCAGACAAATAACTCGACTGTACACTTATCTGTAAGTATGTGATCTTGCATAATCAAAACAATAATTATCTCTGGTCTTGGCCACAGAGCCCTCCAGGATAGTTTTATTTTGTTTGGAAGAAAAACATGATGTATTCCAGTAGGTTGCAGCGAATAAAGGCAGATGCAAATTATGCGTTGTATCCAGTCTCTTAAAAAAATAAGAGCTATGTTGTAAACAGTTTGGTTTGAGAGACTATAAATGAAATAACTCAGAAAAGATGGGAAGAAATTTAACTACATTTCAATTGTAGGACCCATTTCTTATCACTCTGTGTGTAGAACTGGTATGCATAATGAAGTAATCAATGCATTCTTTAAATAATACTTTTTATGATATTAAAGTCTGGGTAGTCTGAATAACATATTTCTCAAACACTAGAAAACTACTTCACCAAACCAGATGGCAACAGTAAAAAGAGACCGACAATGGTACGATGTAGGAATTTTTAAAAGCAACAGTGCTCTGGTAAACCAGTACTATTTGTTACTAGAAGAAAAAGCAAGCATCTCTAACAAGGTAAGTTTTATTTGTGCATTTTTTATTTTTGGATGTGTTGCCTATGTGCTAATAGGTTGAGGCTAAAGGTTTGGGAATTTATTGGTTTTGATACACTGTGCAAGGAACTAGTGCTAATCAGAGCTCTGGACTCACAAGGGAGAAAACATTAATTCAGGATGCTGGCAGATATCTTGTTAACTTATGTTTTATTTCTGAGGCTAAATCTTCAGCCAGCCAAACAAAATGCATAATTATGGGAATCAAACGTAAGAATTTGTAGTTTTATCCCAGCATTCCTATTTATATAGGAAATAGCTCTTACATTTTTACTGGCTTGAAAATATTAGTGTATTGTGTGTGTGATCGCTGAAAGCATGAGAACTTAGAAACCTGCAAATGAATTTCTTAAGAAGTGGTGTGATTTAGCTTTACATTTTTAATATGGTATTTGTTTAAATACAGCTTTGAATAAATACATTGAGTAAGGATGTTAAAAAGCGTTTAATAGGGTAACTTAGTAGCTTCTAAAAATCTTAGTGGTTCTACATGCTGTGGGCTTTGCTGAAAAACCTCCCCAGGGGTGGGGCCGCCAGCCCCTGCTGGCCCAACTCTCGGGGGGCGGCTTTGCTGCCTTGCCACTTCCCCAGGAACTGGCTGAGTTTAACCAGTACCATTAATAGATAAGCATCAGCTTATCCATTAAATCAGGGGTGGGGAACCTAAGGTCCAGGGCTGAATGTGGTTCTCTGGTTTCCTGGATCCAGCCCCCAATATTTGGTGCCCCTCTCCCCCAGCATTGGGAAACCCGTGCTGGTGCTCTGCGAGTTCTGGTTTGTAATGTGTGGAGTGCTTTCTCCTTCTCAGTCAGGGGCCATATCAGAGAGGGTGGTGGTTTTTGGGGGGGGTTTTTGCTTCTTTTTTTGCAGCCCCAGACTGATTTTTCTGTGGGCCAGTAGCCCCTGACCCAAAAGAAGTTCCCCACCCCAATGTAAATGGTTAAACCCTGACATCCCTATCATTCATGTCACTTTTTTGTAAATTGTGACTCATGAATGCTCATTAACATTGTTTAATATTACCCCGTGAAAGAATACAGATAGCCGAGTGTTTTTAAAAACTATAGTTCCTATATTGTTTTGTGTCTAGGGTTTTTTTATTTTGTTTAGGTAGTTTATACATCAGTTATGTATGAAACACTTTATATACATTAAATTTGCAAAATCTTTGCAGTTTTGATGGCAAGAGAGGATTAATGATCCATTGGTGAATATATTTCTAATTAAGTGGCTAGAACAGGCCTGGGCAAAATACAGCCCACGGGCCACATCTGGCCCACGGAGGCAGTGGGGAACCCCATGCAGGAACCCCTGCTTGCCCCGTGCATCATGCAGAAAAGCAGCTGCAGGGCTCAGTTTCTGTTTTGAAACTGGAGGGGAAGGAAGAAGTTTTAGGAGCTGCCCCACCCTCCAGCACATTCCTATTGGTCGGTTTCTGGCAGAAATCAGCCAATGCGAGCTGCTTGTTAGAATAACAGGCAGCTAAGAAGAATCATGCCTCCTCTCCTGGGCCCAGATATTCATAAATCACATGGCCTGGCAAGCTGGCTGGCTAGGAAACATTTGTAAGTCTCTTGACAAGTAAGTCTCTTGGCCACCCTGCTTCTGGCACCCTAGCCCTTTCCTGCCCCAACTCTCTGCGCCCCCCTCCTCCCACTCAACATACCCAAACCCTCTGTACCCGTTACACCTGTATACCCCCTCCCAGATCTAGCACCCCAATCTCCTATCCCAGATCACAATCCCCTCCTACTCTAGGTCACATCCCAAACTCCTTCACCCAAACTCCCTCCCTTACCCCAAGCTCCCTTCTGCACCTAACTTCCATTTCAGATCCCTCATCTCCATTAATATCATGGAAGAGTGCGACCCTCGACCACTTTTCAAAATCTTGGAGTGGTCCCCCATCAAAAATTATTGCCCATTCCTGGGCTAGAAACACCTACAGCCCAAACATCACTTCTGATAATTAGAGGCTTTAATTGCATTCAGAACTAAAATCCATAATGCAGGTACTAGTTTAGTAATTATATCCTATGTATTTAACAATCAGGTGCACATAACCTATTTAATAATGGCTAGACTTAATTTTAGTCACACTTTCTTTTACTAAAAATATGAATACTGTAGGTTACTTGTGGAGCTTTGTGCCCTCTAATGACCAGCTGTTCTGTTTTACATTTCCTGTTCTAACTGTAGATGTAGCACAAGACAGAAGGGAATAAAACAGATTTATGGGTAAAATATGTCATGTGTCTAACTCCTTTGACTATCTAAGTCGGGGTCACCAACCAATAGATTGGGATCTACTGGTAGATCCTGGTGCCTCTCACGGGTGATCCTGGCTGGGAGGCTGTCTTCAGTTACCTCTGCCCCGTACTGCTATGCTGCTCCTGTCCTCTGTCTTGGAGCTGCCCCCAGGAACCTCCTGCTTGCTGTGCAGGGTGTAAGAAGTGGAAGAGGGGGGCATTGAAGTCAGGATGCTCTCTTCCTCCTTTTCATATCCCCAATCTCCACAGAATAAGCAGGGTGGGGTGTAGGTGCAGGGGGGAAGGCCGGGCAAAGGTATTTGGGTTTGAGGTAGATCCTGGATTGACTTAAATTCAAAAAGTGATCTTGCGCTTAAAAAGGTTGGAGACCAATGATATACATACTGTAGTTCAATTGGCTTGTGACAGTTTCCAGATATGTGGAATGAGAGGTGACATATTTCCGACCTGTGATTTTTGCAGAGTTTCAGCAAATCACTGCAATGAAAAGGCACTGGTGTACCATACACACCCAGACATTTAATAAAACTCCAATTGGAGAAAAAGCTTGGGGCAATAACATTAAGTATCTATATCACAATTTTGCTTGGAGTAGTCTAAGATAAAATATCCATAGTTTTCATTTGTTAAGCTAAGATGATATAACTCCTGTTTGGGATTAAAGCTATTTAAATCAGGCCATGACTTACAGGCATTGTAACTTCTACATCTGCATTATTTAATGCTTTTGCAAAGATGATTTTCAAGGCAGGAGGTAAGTTATCTTATCTCCACGTATGCACTCTCCTAATTAAAATCAAGGGCACTGATAGCTTTATTAATTTAAGGGGGCACACAGCCAACACAGGAAGTAAACAAAGGTAATGCTGGTATGTTGTATATTTACAAAGAGCTTCTTTCTTTCCTCCACTATTCCTTTGATTCCTTCATAGTGTCAAAACAGTTCCAGGAATTGCATAATCCCCATGTAATTATTTGGTATTTATCAATGACATGTTTCATGCCATAGATGGTGCAGCTACAACAAACAGAATGGTCGCACTCCCTGAGCTAACATGAAAAAAATCCAGATCCAGGAAACCTTACCTTAGGGTGAAACTTCCTAAAGTCTAAATGGCCTATAACCCTGTGCTTGAAGCAGATGGAATGCAGTCCATTTCAAACAGGAAGCAATGGTTTCATATGGGTTGGTGAGTGTGCTTATGGAGAGTGGGGGTAAAAGAATCATTTGGTTGGAAAGACAATTTATGAGCCTCATACCACTTGAAAACGAGAGAAAAAAGTTCATCTGGCTAACGGAAAATTAGGTGAGCAAATATATCTTCTAAAATTTTCTGCTAGGGGATTTGAAAAGTTAGAAGCTGAAACAACGCAGGCCATATGCCATTTGAATCTCATTTTTAAAAAATAGGAGTTTGGGGCGCAGTTAGTATTATGAATGAAAAGAAGTGGGATATATTAACTCCCATATTAGAGATGTTTTTCAATTTTAGCATAGAATTCCCCACTCTTTTCCTAGAGCTTTACAACAGGAATAGCATGTTGACTGTATATTACCCATTTTCTTTACCTGTGCTCATATGTGGCCTGAAGATGCCTTTCCCATTGCTACATCAACCTTTACTCTTCCTTCTTGTGTTATGCCAAATATGCTGTCATCTTGTATAGGCATCTTTCTGGCTTGTATTCGGAGGGTAGGCAAGGATAAAGATGAAGAGTCTAATTTAAATGTTACAAATAAGTGAAATGTTAAGGACAAAGCTCCAGTTTTTATTGGGAGGATTGGCAAATGGTAGAGGATGGTATCTAGGTTGTAGGGATGTGAGTCTTTGATTGAAAGATGGATATTTGTTGAGTAGTCTTCCATCATCTGTGGACGGATGAGTAGGGGTGAATGGGTCAGAATTAATGTTGGTGTTGACTTGGGACTTCCTAGAGAGACACGGTCCTGAGATGACACAGCTACAACTACACTGCATTGGAACTTTCATACACTTCAGTGTATTAAATGCAGATTAATTTTGAGGGGGGGGAAGGAGTGAGGGAGAATTTCCTTAGCTCTTTTTTTATTTTATATGACAGATATCATGCAAATGAGCCCAGCATGTTAAATTCCACCTCCAAAGGCTTTTTAAAAGAGGAAAAATCAGGGGGTTAGAAGAGAATGCATCCTTCAAATTTAGTTAGAACTGTACTTCAATGGCCATATAAATATTTCAGATCTTATGTAATTTGTAAAATTCATTTTGGAGCATTAGGTGTTCACGTTGGTATTTCATTAATATAATATAAAATAAAATTGTACTTATGTATGAAAGTGTTTCCAAATGCATGATTATAATGTATTATCACAGATTAATGTGTGTGCATGTCTAATAATTGCATATGCTAAACACTGTATGAATTACTACAGCACACAGTGTTTCCTGTCTTTATATAAATGAATGAATTCTGTATTGGCTAGCAGCAATAGTGACTTTACAAATTATACAACTTTTTAATGTCAAGTCAAAATTATACCTTATGATTATATAATCAATAACTTTTTAATTACAAAAAACAGTTAAAGGACAAAATATAATAGCATGGGTGTAAAACTACATTTTTTCAGGTGCATAACTCAGAAAGCTTACTTCTGTCATTCCCTTCTCTGTCCAAAACAATCAGTTATACAGATGCTAAAAAGCCATCAAAAGCATTTTTCAGTACATAAATATAGGGATTACAATTTTATCTTTTTTATCTTAAATATAATTCTTGTGTAGTAGGTCAGGGCTTTAATGATTTTTGTAAATAACTGAAATTTAAAAAGTCTATTTAAAGAAAATTAATAGAATTGTGCTACTAATTCAAAGTAACCTATGGCAACCCATGTGTTTCTTACCAAAGCAAATAATTTAACACAGTATCCTGCCTTTGTCACTGACCATAATCAGATGAAAAAATAAACATTATATGCTGTGTTTGGTTTAATTGAGCACACTTCCTAGCGAAACAATAGCTAAGGATTTTATCATTACTTACGGCGATTATAAGTTTCTCTTAAATATAAGGGTTGTTAGCCCTTATAACAATTTCACCTAAATTTTTGGATCATGTATATAATGTTCATGCACACTTCTAATTTCAAAATTCTGTTTTTTCTTAATGATGGTCCTGCTACCTGATAATTTATTAGATTTAGGTGTGATTTTTTTTTTTTTACTGTTAAAAGTAAACTAACTTACTTGAATTTTGCATTATTTACATTTTCAGATGGAAAATGCTGATGTCCTAGACTACAGTTTACTTAAGAAACAGGATCTCTTTCCAGGCACTGTGTACAGGTTCAGGGTTGCTGCAGTTAATGGCTGTGGTGCAGGCCCTTTCAGTAAAGTCAGTGAATTTAAAACCTGCATTCCTGGTTTTCCTGGGGCACCTTCAACTGTCAGAATCACCAAGGTGAGAGAGATGGTTAGGATTTCAGTTTGTATAGAGTTGTTGTCTGAAGTTTTACTCCCATATCTAATCTGGAAATTTCTGGGATCCTTTTTTTTTTTTTAAATTAAGTAAAAACTGCCCTAGAAAATGGTGTCAAACATTGATGGATAAATTGACACTTTTTTTGTGAACTTCTTGTAAAGAGCCACATTCAGACTCTCAACATTGAGAGAGAGAGATGTTGATGACGTTATTACTCTTTTTCATATCTATATAATACTTAACACTTTCTTACCACAAGAACTATGGGTCACCAAGTTAGATTAATTAGATAGTAGGTTTAAAACAAAAGGAAGTATTTTTTTTCATGTAACTCATAGTCAACCTATAGAAAACTCTTTGACAGAGTATTGTGAAGGTTATAACAGAGTTAAAAAAAGAACTAGATAACTTAAGATAAGTCCATCAGTGGCTATTAAATGTCCCTAGCCTCTCTTTGCCAGAAGCTAGGAATAAGCAACAGGAGATGGATCCCTTGATGATTAATTGTTCTCTTCATTCCCTATGTGGTACCTGGCATTGACCACTGTCGGAAGAGAGTGTACTGGGCTAGATGGTACTTGTGGTCTGGTCCAGCATGGCTGTTCTTATTAATGGGTAACACATACTTCTCAGTTCTCTGATTAGTATAGATTTTGTTTAGTGTTGTGTTAAACTATCTGTCCTGAGGTGCTTGCAGCCTAAAAGGACTCACAATAGCACATTAAAAGATCCAAAGAATGATGGTGTTTTAGAATACTTTTCTGTATTAGGCAACAATTGTTAATGTTATGTAATTGTAAAATGTTAATTACTCTGAAAAATTATTTGGATCTCAATGACTGTGTCAAATTTGTTAATTTAAAAATACGATAATTTTTATGCATTTTCTTTTCTTATTCACCTACACAACCTCATTACCTCCAAGGTGTCCCTTTATTTGTACATTGGAATCACTGTGCCCTCTTTGTTTTGTGTGAGCCAGAATAGAAGCGAGTTCCGTTTCCCATACCTGTTTTAGATTGATTGCTGTTAACAGTAAATGCTTTTGTAAGTAAAGTAAGCAGCTGTGACTCAGAACAAACATAAGAATTAGATTCTGGTAAGTATATGCCTTTTCACACCAAGAATAATTGCACATTAATACAGTAAACTTCCGATAATCCGGCACCTTTGGGACCCAGGGGGTGCTGGATTATCAGATATGCCGGACTATCAGAAGGGGGGGCTATGAGGGTTCTGGGGTGGGGGGGGGATGCCACCCCAGACCCCTCATGGCCCCCCCTTCCGATAGTCCGGCTGGTCAGTTTCAGCAGCAGCTGGATTGGGGATGCCTGCGGGCGAGGGGGTG